CAAGACGCAGGGGTACCCCCCGCTCAGAAGCCCCCACCATCCCCCAGACAAGTTCCCGGTAATTTTCCACAAGGGGTAAACAATGCGATGTGGCGAGAACCCCGGGCAGTTACAGCGCAGTCTTCACCCACCACAATAAGATTGCCAAGTGCCGTGGTCATGGTCGTCGCAGGATCCAAGGGTGGTGATTTTTCCTTTTGCTATCACTTTCTTTCTCTCTTTTCTAGTCTTAACAAGAGGCTACCTATGGCAAGGCTGGTTTCTTTTGCTTGCTAATAGCTCGTTGCTGCGAGGCATGTTGATTTAAGTGGACAATTGAAATACGTCGTTGTTACCTCTTTGGTGATTGATAAATAAAACTGGTGTTAGCTCTTTGGTGATTGATAAATAAAACTGGTGTTCAGATCTTTGGTGTGACTCACCTTAATCCTGGCCTGGGAATCACTGAACCTCAGTCATCATCCTGAAAGCTCGGGATGTGACAGTCTGAAACCTACCTCTGCCCCACGAGCACTGTGGGGCTGCTGCCCCGACACACCGACGGGACACTCAACAACTGTCCCTTCTCTCCCTTTGCCATTTTCAATCTCCTGATACCTTTTCCTTTGTTTTCTTCTTTTTGCTCTTCTTTCCTTTGGGATCTGGTGAGGCTGACGGGGCTCCATCCTTCAGATCACTCTTCCTCTGCAGTGGCTGGTCGCTGCTCGGCGTGTCGTCAGCAGCTGAGACACTGCCCTGCTCCAAGCAAAGACAGGGAGTTCAGAGCAGTTGCAGAGAGGGGGAAAAGTGCCTTTTCTTCCATTTCTCAGTATTAAGCTGCTCTGCACACATGGGTGGGCAACTCTTCAGTGGTAAAGCACGACAAACTGCCTCAGCTGCCACGGTCATGCACAAGAGATGGCTCCAAACAGATTTAGTTCCGATGGGTTTATTCACACTCCCTCCTCACAGCGGATGCAGCCAGTAATGCCGGGCCTTGCTCACCTTGCTCTGTACCACTTCATCCCGTGGTACCGACTGTGCTCGCCTTTCCTCCTTCAGCCTCTCCCTCTTCTTCCTCAGGCTTCTTCCACGGTTAAAGCGTGAGACCTGAGGGCAGACCACACTGTCACTCAGTGATGTCACGCTCTTTCCTGCCCCAGAAGTCAAATAATAGAGCCTTTCTGCACCTCTAAAAGGCAACAGGTAAGGGAGAACGCGCTGCCAGAGGGATGCTCATGGGCCACGCAATGTGGGTGTCTGTAGCCGTGAAAACACATCACCACTGAGCTGAGTCCACTCTGGCATTCCTCGGAGCGGTGAGTGCCTCCTCCTGTGTCCTCAGGCTGGTTGCCAAGCCCAGCCCAGCCTTTCTTATGCAGAGGTGACAAGGAGGAGCCGGGCAGGGATCACACCGAGTCTCATACCAGAATACAGAGCCCTCCCACGGGTCTTCTGGCCTGCACTGTGGCACTTCACATACAGCATCAAACAGGACATTTTGTACCCATTTCAAAGCATCTTCCACTGTGGGCAACCACCTTGAGGACGGGGTGGGATGGGATGTGTCTGAGGCATGTGGCAGAATGACACAGCCCAAGAGCTGTGGGGTACAGGGCAGCTTTCCAAGCCCTGGGCCATGGCAGGGAACAGGTGCCTCTGGCCACTCCATCCTCTGCCCATCAGGAGAGCAGGACCTGAGATAGCACTTAACGCTGAGGCATAATCCGCACACTTTGCTGGGGCTGGGGGCTGAGAATCTCCACATTGATAGACCTGGGGCCAGCACACGACGCCAGCAGAAATGCAGACACCCTTCACATCAGACGATTAAGGACCAGGGTATGTGGTCTCTCCGGGTGAACTGGCCTCAGCTCCACATGTATGTGTGTGCCGGGGAGAGATTTGTAACGTACCTGCGATGCTTTAGTGAGGAGGAGTGCAACCTCGGGGTTATTGTGCTGTCTGGCAACCTCTAGGGGGGTCTGACCTGCCTGAGAGGAAAACAAAAACGGCATTTCCATCCAAACACAACGTACTGGAAATGCGGAATCTCTCCACCCGAGATCAGTACGTGCTCTATGCACAAGAGTAAAGCGACAAACTACTTTTGATTTTTTGTTTCGCAAGATTTAATTCAACTCCAACACCCAAGTATTTTCTACCAACAAGATGAAGAACACTGAAAGGAGTGCATTAATACAAAATGCCAAAGAAACTCTGCGTCCTGCTTACGTTGTTGACAACAGATGCATCAGCCCCTGCCTCCAGCAACAGCTTCACCACCTTCCTGTGATTTAGAGCAGCAGCTACATGGAGCGCGGTGTCCCCTGCCTGTAAGTCAGAAAGCAGAGGACAACCGTATAACACAAGTCCTCCGGTCTCACCCTACAGAAATCACACCTTCCTGAGTCAAAAGAGCTATGCTTACTGATCCAACGACTAATTTTAAATCAGGCTTGGTTAATTAAAAAAAAAAAAAAAAAAGGCAGAGTTGGGAGGAAGGGGACAGGAGGGGTCAGCCTGGTTTTGAGAGATGCAGCTGGGGCGCTGGTGATCTGGTTTAACTAAACCAGGCGACACATGATGCAGCTTGGAGACAGCCCAGCTCTACCACCAGCAAACGGATACGACATCTGAGGGCAGAACCGGTTTTCCCACCACAATCTTTTTTTTTGCAGGTTTATTTGGTTGCGCAGGTGGTCACGTATCATGTTACTCCGAAATAATCAGGTAAGTAACAGCAGCGAGACGGCTGGTGCTCCCTTCATGAGATTCCTCAACAAAAAAACAGGTTTTGGACCGAAGCCCAGAGGCAATCCGGGCCCAGCGCTAACACATTGCCCTACCCTTGTCCTGGTGCAGCGAGGTGAAAACGGCTGTGATCAGATTTGGGCACTGGTAACAGAGCCAGCAGCTGTTCAAGGGAGACCAGACATGTGTATATAATGCCCTCCTGTCACCTTTGCCTTGCATTTTGCCTTCAGAAAAATTAGATCTTGAAACTTGTGGAAATCTACTGCTTGTTGCTAACTTGGACGAGGAGTATTCCAAAATAAAATCATTATATGTGCAAATACGGAAAAACTTTGGGTAGCGCTGGGGAATGAAGGAAAGGGCTATCTCTCTGGGCCAGGTTCACACCAGTTAATCTTAATATTCAGTGGCTTATTCTGCAAGTTTAAAAAAAAAACCAAAAAACTCATTTCCAAATAAAATTACATAGCAAGTTTAACATGCTGAAACTCATTTCATTTGCTGTAGTATCTCATCTCTAAGAAACGATTAGATGTATAGATCGGAAAACATCTTTATGATCCTCAACTATACATGGAAAATTTCCCAGGAAGATGAGGCGAGGTGGTTAAGCACCACATAATCTGTTTATTTGGCAGTTTTAACACATTTTCATGTGATAAACCCATTCCTTTCTACCACTCAATTAGGCTACCCTCTAGGTACAGCAATCAATTACTGCTCTAGAGAACGACTCTGGGTGACTAATCCTAGGTTAGACTCATCACTACTTTGAATTTAAAACGTGCCATTTCTTCACTTTTACATCCTTTTAACCCCCACTGCTTGCACTGTGCAGAGAGGTATTTCTAAGGAATTTGCACTTTTGTAGCATCTGGACGTTGGTGAGTTGTCCTTCACAATGTCTCTGTAATGGCCACAGGATCATTAAATCCAAGTTACAGAGGAGAAAATGGGCCCCCATAAAACACCTGGGTTTCTTGCCCAGTCCTGTTCTGCACCAAACTGGTGATGACCCAGGAGCACCAACTCCTAACCCTCAGCTGCTCCCCCCATCCCAAACCTCCCTTCTGCACCAACGCACGATCACAGAACCTCCTCAACAGGCAACATTGGAAAGAAATGATGCAAATGCGATGGCAAAACAATGAACAAGTGATAGGCCATTACTTTAAGGCTATTCTTAAAAGCTTGGGCACTTGGTGGTACAGCGAAACACAGAGCGAAGCGGGATTACTCAGGTAGGAACCCCTCTTCCCAACGCCGAGAGCACGGAGTCGCAATGAGGTTTCATGCACTGACCTGGTTCTTTTCATGGACAGAACAGAAAGCACTGAGCAGCACCCTAATGATGGGCAAGTGATTATAACGAGCAGCCACATGCAGACAGGTATCTCCTGCCTGCAAACAGAAACAAAGCTCTGAGCGCACAATCGTAGTGAGAAAGCTCGCATTTGTCACGGCGTTCAGGGATGAAATAACCTTGCTCAATGAAAAAGAGCAGCAAATGCCGCAGACCCGCAGTGAACATCAACATTGTCTTCTCCATGGCACAAAATCTACTGTCATGGGTGGGAAGGTTTAGCAAGAGCTGAGGTCTGGCAAGGTGAGGGTACCAATTCTTTAAACCATCGGTGATAAATACCGGAATTATAAAATGCCAGTTTACTGCATTACAAAACCCCATTTGCACTTTTACATTGGATCTGTTCTTCTGAACAGCAGGGCAGTGTGATTTGGAAACACATCTCAGTGTTGTACACAGTGAATAAATCGTGAGGAGCCGGGGCCAGAGCAGCATCCCCACGAGGGGTGGCATATGCATGCCTGGGATGGGGAGCTGGGAGCAGAGCCCCAGGGGTTCCATTTCTGCATGCCTCTGCCCTCCTTGTAATCGAGCAGGGACAACAATATCTAGCTTCTCTTTTTAGATTTTTTTTGTCCCCTTTGTCATGACAGAATCATTATAAAATAGGAGGAAAGCTGTCTGAAACAGAAGTCACCTTGAACCTACCTCATTTGAGAGACATACAGTGTGTACCTGTGTGCGTATATATATATGTGTGTGTGTATATATATATGTGTGTGTATATATATATATATATGTGTATAAAAAATGTCTCAGTGAGGGCAGGTCTGAAGACTTTCACTGCTCTGGCATCAAACCCCTTTAAGATTTCCATCTTTTTGAGACAGGAGCCCTTTTGCAGAATCGCAACCTCAAAAAGCAGCAAAAGACCAGCTGCCTCGATCTGTGCAACAGCAAATCCTGCTTTGGCTCCTTCCAGCCCTGCTCAAGAGATGGGCACAAGTATGCATGGCTCACTTCTATCAAAGGCATTCCCTGTACATCACGTATACGGTGTTTTTAGCATTTTGGATTTGGTTTGTTTTCAGTAGCATTTATAATAAAAAAATCACAGCGTAGAGCATTTCTGAGTTTTTCTACAAGTTAAAGCAATATAGCTCTAACAAAGGCACACAAAAATGAACATTTTCTTTTTGAAACTCACGTTATTTTTGAGGTCTGCTCGAGATCCTCCAAGGAGCAAAACACGAGTACTCTGGGAATGGCTATTCTGGCAAGCCAGGTGAAGAGGTGTGTTACCTGCCTTAGAGAAATACAGGAAAATATACAAGCCATATTTAGAAATTGGACATAAGCATTAAAAAATAAAACCGCAAAGGTCTTCCCACAGTAAGATCTAACCAGGGGTGGGAAACTGTTGCTGTTATTTTCCCAAAGATATGAGCTGAATTAACCTTTTTTTTGTCCTGGAACTCTTTACGTGGGATATAGTAAAAGCAGAAATTGAATGGTCTGACTATATCTGCATTGATCAAACCTGTGCAGGAAGCAAAGACTCTAGAAGCTGATCGGTTCATTAATATCAAACTGTGCTATCAAATATTTCATTTAAAGACAATAATTCTTGCATTTCGCATTTCCTCCATCCACACAAACAAAGAAACACACTGCCACGGCACGGCATCTCCAATCTCAAGCAAAGCCAGCTGCAGCTGCTGCAGGGAGTTAGGCAGGTGAGGGTCACTCATCACAATTTCTGTTTCCTTACGATCGTAACACAAACCAGCCCCAAGCCTGGCTGGGTGCACAGGTGCTCTCACAAGGCAGGATGCAGATTTTTGGGCTATCAGGAAGCCAAATCCACCCAAACCCCAAGGAAGCACAGGCTAAGCTTCCTGAAAGGAGCAAACATGCAGTTTTTATGGACAGAAATCATGGAAGGGTTTGCTCACGTATTGTCTTTCTAACATGTGAAGGATTTTATTGGCCAGACAAGTTTTTGCTGGCAGCGTTTGGCTTCTGTTGGTCTAAAAACATTGGGGGTTTTGGCTCTTGGCAACTAAAAATTGAATCAGCTCAGGTAAAAAGGTTTCCTATGCTTGCTAGGCTGCCTGCTCACCTTGATTATGTCCTTTAATCTGTCCCCCTCCCCATGCTGCTCTCAAGACACAGATCAAAGCTGCAGGGTTTGAATTACAAAAGGCCAACTCTTAGATACAGTCTTAGGTTTTCAGTTTCATGTTACAGACTACTTCAGGCTTCAATGTAGTCTCCCAGCTGTGGCAGACACAAATGTTTTCTTTCTCAGCTAAACTGCATTTAAGTGTCTTTTTCTTTTTTTTTTCCCCCCTCCTGTGTTTATCTCTGAAAAGCCTCTGCAATGTCTTTATCACTTGCTGCCTGGAAGGTCAGTCCTGGTGGGAAAGCAGAGAGGACATTTGCAGTGGGTGACGGGCGAGGACCTCAGTGCTGGGAGAAGCTGGGGTGCTGGTGCCCAGGGTCAGAGCTCACAGAGCAGGCTCATCTGGTTTGTCTCCCACAGGGTGGCAAATCTCGCACCAGTTTCTGTGAGAGGGAGAGTGGATCGAGTTCTATCAATCTGGGGGTCTTTGCTGACCTACTGAATCTTCACTGAAATGTGTATACTGATGGAGGATCTAAAAAGAAGGATACAGTTGATCTCATGACCTTATTACAGCAGAAGAGCTTTCATTAAATCAGCTTCACTTAAAATTAACTGCATCTCCAAGGTGACTGCTGCGCAAGAGGCTATATGGCTACCTGGGTGGTTTACCCATGTGTTGTCCCATTCCTCAGGCACCTGCCTGATTTGCCTGTAAAATCCCAGGTGTCCTGTCTGGACTCCGCATTTCACTTAATACAGAAGCCATCTTCAACAGCTTCTTCCTTACAAGGAAGAAATTTAGATACAAGGAAGAAAATTAGATATAAGGAAGAAATTCTTCACCATAAGAGCGGTGAAACACTGGAACAGGTTGCACAAGGAAGTTGTAGATGCCTCATCCCTGGCAGTGTTCAAGGCCAGACTGGATGTGGCTTTGAGCTACCTGGTCTAGTGGGAGAGAGGTGTCACTGCCCACAGCAGGGGGGTTGGAACTAGATGAGCTTCAAGGTCCCTTCCAACCTCAACCATTCTATGATTCTATGATTCAACCACGATGCTCTTTCCTATACCAAGCTCCAGGTGCACTGCTGCAAGAAGTTCATCCGTACAAGAGTTCCCCACACAGTCCCAGGAGATATTAACCAGGAGTTACGGAAAATATAGTCACAACCCTCCCAACTTCTGCTTTTTAGCAGGGTTTGGCAAATTGAGCAGACCCTATCTGTCCCATCCAGCCAAAATTGCACGATGCCCAGGTGCAAGTTTACAACCCTGTAGGGTGTTCCTGCACATGGCACCCAGCCCTGGCTGCCCGAAAATCTATCAGAAAGATGGTGTGCCTTGATGTCAGTAACACAAAACGTTGAGAGACCAGAGAAACCATTTGGGAGTAAGTATGCTTACACTCTCAATTTTTATTGAAATCAAAAGGGGTGAAGGCACATGCCACGTGTGCACAATCCCCACATTTTTCAGTGGCTCCTGAGAAAAGATCCTGTCTGTCAAGAAGCACCCAAACAGTGAAGCGGAAAGGGAGAGAGGATCATGCGGGTGAGACATCAAAGACCAGCACAGGAGCTGCTCATGCAGTATTAAAGTCTGCCCGTCACGTTTCAGATAGCAACTCTGCTGAACTATTCTGTGCATGTGCTTTTCAAGAGAGGTTGTCTGCAGCTGACATACTCGGTGTTGTAAGCTAAATCCGAGGTGTCCAAGCATGCAGGATGACTGGGCTTGCACCTTAAGCCCACACTTGTGTACAGAAGTACACACATATACATATATAGTATCCAGGGATAGGAATATAATGGGTCACGAGACTCTAAAGTCAAGCATGGGACATTGTCTGAAGTACCTTTGATGCAAATCTAAGCAAAAGTTACAGCAAAAATAATCACAGAAAACCAAAACTGGATGTTGAAACGACATAAAAGAAGGAATACATGTGATATCAAAGATGATGCAATTACAGACCACGAAGTGACCATGAGTGAACAAACATCTGCACACATGCTGCACACATACAGCAACACCATGCCCTGGCCACATGCCTTTTTTACTCAAAATCCCAGACTTAGGCCAGCTGTATCCTTTCTTTCCTAGTCCCTTTCAGTCATCGTTTTAGACACGTTTACCAAAAAACGCTCAGAGATCCCATAAAGCCATCCCAAAGGCCTCTCGCCTGTAACAAAGGACGTGGTGTCAACTGCGTGAGTCGACCAATCCGTGGGCACAGCAGACCAAACCCCGGCTCCGCTCACACCGTGGGCTGCTACCACCGTGTCCCAGAATCATAGAATCATAGAATGGAAGGGACCTTAGAGATGATTTTTAATCCAGCCTCCCTGTTGCCATGGACGCCACATCTCGACTAGATCAGGCAACACATGGGGACCAAATAGGAATCGAAAAATATTCCATTAACTTTTGGATTACTGAATTGAAGTCTTCCATTAGAATTAGAGTGGAACTAAAACCCCTTGCTTCATTATTCTTTAAACTGTTCTCAAAAGGAACATAATCCAGGTTCATTACAAGACTTTGGTAAGAGCCCAAGCTAATATAATGGGAAGAACTTCCTAACAAAAGATACACTCTTTTTATTCCTCTGTGACTTACATTCCTTTGCTGTTTCATTTAAGAAAAAAAGTGGATTTTGAATGCCATTTTCCTATTAGTACAACTCATTTTCATTTTAAATTGCACCAATCACAATGAATACACTTGATATAAAATTAGAGCACCGCGGAGATTTCCAGAGGAATTGCAGTGTTCCTCAGCTGTAATTAATGTATCATTCAATGCGCTATTGAGTTCCTCCTGTGTCAGCTGTCAAAATATGAATTTCCTAACGCCTGTGGAGGAACCATCAGCGCGTAATAAATGCAAAAGAAAAAAAGAAGAATAAAATCCCACCAGGAGCTGGTCCCCCCACCCACTGAGAAATGCCACGGCCAGCAATCTGCAGTGTTGAGAATCAGCCACCTCACACCAGAACCGAAAGCTCCTCCTACATGGGTCTCACCTTGTTCTTGGCAAGAACGTTGGCTCCTGCTTTAACGAGCACTTTGGCCGACTGACTGAATCCATGCCAACAGGCCTCATGAAGAGCTGTGTTCCCATCCTGAAGAGCACACACATAAGAGGAGAAGGTAAGTTGTGCTGTGTCCACGCGCGGTGTAACGTCACTTTCAGAACACGCAGCAGCTGAATGCCCCACCTGCTCACTTGAAAAATAAAGAAATTTCATTGCCAGCTAGCTTATTTTCTATTTTTTTTCTGGAAGAGTGTAAAACTATTGCTATTTCTTTTGTTCGGAACCTGTATTTACTGCCAAACTAAGTTTACAGCCTGAGATTCTCGGTTTCAGGGATAATCAAGGAAAAGCGCTTTGCACAGAGCACGGTATGGTTGCACATTTCTTTAATTCCTCCCCTAATGAGCTGAGAAGAGACTCTTAAAGCAAAAACTAACAGTCGGATAGAAAAAAATAACTAAATCAGTACTTTACATTAAAGAGACAGTACGGCCTTTTTTTTTTAATGTGACTGTTTAACTTACTCAGAAACAAAACCCATAACTTTCCGATACCTTAATATTACTGGCTGGCAAGGCTGCCACCCCATGGGACCTTGCTTTTGCCTGTTACCTTGTCTTGTCTGTCCAAAGCACACCCCTCTTGAATCAGAGTTGCTATAACATCGGTGTTCCCTACGACAGCAGCCCGGTGCAATGCCGTTTGATCACTCTGCAAAAAAGAAGTAAATTTGTCATCGGTACTGTTCCTGCCTCCTTTTGCCTCAATGAAAATACAGACAACACACACGAGGGCTGCACCTTCAACACACGCAACATTTAAATCCAAGCTGCCTATGGAAACAGTCCCCATAAAACAGCTATCGTTAAAAGTTTCAAAGATTAATGAAATTATTTAAAGTATTGGAGAGCTACGAACCAACAGTTTACACAAGTCTGCAAGTCACTGCAGTCCCATACACAGCGCTGAAGCATTCTAAAACAGAGGGAAGGCAGTGAATCTAACCCATTTGGCACTACATGTCTAACACTCAACAGTATCTGCAGGGAACTAAAGGGAACTACTACAGGCTGTCGTAATTCATCATAATGATCCTCCTGTACTTATACTAACTGGATGAGGCTCTCCTGTTTTGGCTCTGATTGCTCCATCAGGCCCACTTAGGATAAGGAGCACGAGATGAGATCAGTCTCTCCTGCACCTCTGATCAATTTACCAATTAGTGCTAAAGCCGGAGGCAATTTGATGGTGAGGACCACAACCATAAGACCATCAACTTATTTGATTCAAGCAACTGAGCCACTGTGAGGACCAAGTGACTTTCATTTCTCATTGGTCTGCCAAGTAGAAGTAACGAGCAAGTTTCTTACATCAGGCTCCAGGAGAAATGATGCCGATGCGGTCACCTCATCTGACAGCCCATCTATCTCCCCTCCAATAACTGCTGAACTCGCTTGCTGAGCTAGGGAGCCCCAGATTAATTTTCTACAGGCCTTCCAAAAGCTGAAGACAAGGGAGACATGAACTAGCTGCCCTCCCCACCTGTGCATTTTTATGTGCGTGTTGGTGAGAGACCGTGATAGAGAAGGGGAACAGGAGGATTTACACAGCAGCACATCAGGGTGTAAGACGCAGACTGACAGGAAAATGAGCTGCAGTAGCTCTGCTGCTGCCACAAAAACCAGTCTTGGTTTTTCTTTGAAGTTGCTTTGAGCCTGCAATGCTGAAAGCACAGCCAGAGTCCAGGCACAAAGAGCAGCTTCAAAGCTGCGCACGGGATTTTTTGGTGGGGATGGACAAACAGAGCGGGGAATCCAACCTGCTTCTGCTTATCTAGAAAATGGTCACCAAAGCCACACACAGGGCACAGATAGGCACTGTATTCTGAGGGGAAAAAAAACCCTGCAGGAAGTTAAGATACAAAATTTCTCTGCTACAAATCTTTAACAGACATTATCGCATTATATTAAATACTAAAACTAGAAGAATTTCTGCATTTTCTGCCCTACAGCCTACAAGTCTTTAGATAACTGGATAAATTGAATAATTTGTTCTCAAAGGCAATTAGCAGTCGACTTTAAAATTGCTCATGGCAGGGTTCTTTTGTGCTAACGATGATAAAACAGATATAAATCCATAAGGGAAAAATGAGAACCGCCAACAACTACCTTTCAGCAATCTTAGTAATGCCAACTCCCACCACCAGGAAACCACTAAATTGGCTTATAATCATGAAGTTGATTTTATAAAGTTGTCTTGAAGACTTTTTTTTTAAAATTTGCTATCTATGTTTTGTCTCTAGAGGTTACATGCTATTACTTTTGCTCTTACCCCTACTCAGACTGGAAATATTTTTTAAGATATTTTGAAAAAAAAGACAGTAATGGTTCCAGGAACTACTGTAACTTTCAGAAAAACACAAAGTATTGGAAAACTGACAGCACTGCAAGTTCTTTGAACCTGTGTATTTGTTCCAAATTTCAAGATAACCAAAATGTTATAGAAAATATCAAAATTATACTGCCTTACGAGCGCAAGTGTTAGATTCCAGTAACTATTACCGCATAGAACCTGATGACTGGCACAGCTACTGCAGCAGTGGATACAGTGGAGAGGTCATTTTATCTGACTGTCATGAAGTGGAAAGTAATCTGTCAGCCTGCCTGTGCCCACTGATCTTGTTGCACCAGCAAAACTACAGAAGATACTATAATGAAGTCTAAACTAAGATGACAATCTGACATAGCAGTGGGTGAAGCTTGAACAATGAATGGTTGGTTCCTACTTTATAGTCTGGAAAATTGATCGTGGAGAAGACCAAATTGGAATAGATTGTATTGCATTTACTTTGTAATTAAGGATCTTCTCACATCGTTAGCCCAATCCCATCAAAGTAATTGCAGTGAGGTCAAAGACCATCTCATTTTCAGGGGTTTGTCAATATGACAGCTACTTCTAATGCCATGAAAAACAGACATGTATTTGGAAAGCAGGAAGCACGGCTACATGCTGCAGGAGGAGGTCTCCCTTGGGGACTCCAGCCCCTGTGCTGGGGGATCATTCACTGCGGTTGGTGGGCCTGAGCCATGCCTTGGCTTTTTCTCATACTGTATTGTGATGCCCGAAATGGAAGCCCGGGCAAGTGAAGACACACAAGCCCTGCAGATGGCAGGCTCAGGTGCCTCCTGCCCAAGGTGTGGACTTTTGTGCTGACACCTGCCTTAGACAAGTATGGGAGAGCCAAGAATCTAAGAGTAAGGTCCAACCACCACCCTAACCAGGTAAGTAAACACCTCATCCATGTAATAGTGTGTGCAAAAGGATATCTCAAGCCCTGTCTCACCTGGACTGAGGCACCTCCCAGCAAAGAGACGGCAGGTATCAATGTCCTGGTGAAGGACTCTACCATCCCCAGACCCCTCAACCAGCAGGACAGGGCCTGGTTAACCATTCCCTCAGACCTCAGCACACACCCTAACCCTAAACTGCTTAAAGTGGTGTGGAAGCTGAATTGCAATGGCCTCCATGTGTGGGTCACTGAGTGACTCAGCTGCAGATGGCACAGCCCACCTGTAAATCATAGAATGTTAGAGGTTGGAAGGGACCTCTAGAGATCACCTAATCCAACCCCCTGGCCAGAGCAGGATCCCCTAGGGCAGCCACACAGGAATGCATCCAGGCGGGTTTTGAAAGTCACAAGAGAAGGAGACTCCACAACCTCTCCGGGCAGCCTGTGCCAGTGCTCTGTCACCCTCACAGCAAAGAAGTTTCTCCTCATGTTGAGGCGGAACTTTGTAAAATCTAGCTTATGCCCATTTTTCCTTGTCCTATTACTGGGCACCTTCCTCCTGAAAACACTGCCCACACTGCTGAGCTTCTTGCCTGTCTTGCCTCCCCATCAGCAGAGGAGCAAACCCATCTTGCCTCTTATGGAATCAGAGAAAACAAATGATTTTTTTTTAATATTTTTTTCCTGACGTGAATTTTCAGACAGTGTAATCACCGACTAGTGTATCTTATTAATTGCCAAAACAACTGTCTCTGAAAGCGCTCCTCGGAGTTTTGCCTTTAGCAAGGCATCAGAGGGCTGTTCCAGAGGCTCGGAGAGCAATTACACTGGTAAATTTGTATTAACTGCCCAGGCTATTATGTCGGGCACAATTTATGATCCTATTTGCAAGTGATTTATGCCTTAGGAACAGACCGTGGATCAGTAGCAACGAAGAGAGATAACTCCAGTGCTGTGCCATGCAAATGTGACCTTGACAGAAACCAACACAGTCTGCCTAAACGCAGATGTGGGCCCGAAGCCAAAAAGACACTCAGGTGCTTAAGCGAGGCTTGGTAGAAGTAAGGCACTTAAATCTAAACTGGTGTGTCTTAAATCCTCCTTCTTCAGCTGCTGCCTAGCCCTGAAAGCAACTCAAACCCAGGCGTTTCCACTCCAGCCGTCCTGGCCTGAACGCTGTCGCAGGGCACCGCAGCCACGATGGCACCGAGGAGGCCATCAGGCAGCCCACCTCCCACTCCACCACAGCCCCTGATGAAGCCTTCTCCTCTCTCTCTCCCTGCAAGCATCCTCCTCTCATGCAAGCTGCAGGTACATATGCCCCCACCCTTTGAAATGAGGCCAGTGAAGGAGGTGGCAGCTGGCTCTTCTGAAGCAGCCCAGAAGTTACGGTACTCGCCCAGCTCGTCTTGCCATGTGAGCACTGCTGTGTTGAAAGCAGCCCGCTTTGAAGGAAAATCTCAGTATTCACTGGGGTACAGAGAAAAAGGCTGGGAGGTGGGGATAGAAGCCTGTGTCCTGCCGTGCAGTGGAGGCAGGACCGCACATCCCCAGAACTCGACTTGTACTGGGGCTACTGCACAGACAGACCCAGCACCAGAAGGTACGTCTCCGAAGGGTGAAACCATACTCCGTGGTTTGAGCACGGTACTGGCAATGACAACACCGAGGTCACGGGTTCGATTCCCGCTCGGTCCCCATGTGTTGCCTGATCTAGTTGAGAGGCGTCCCTGCCCATGACAGGGAGGTTGGATTAGATGATCTCTAAGGTCCCTTCCAGCCTAGGCCATTCTGTGATTCTATGATTCTTTACAAAGACCTTCAACACCTGCTTTCAGGAGAGGATTACACGCTGGGAGCCCTGAAGAAAGGCAGATACCTTTCCTTTAGCAGTTCTGTGTTGGCCAGGATGGTGGCGCTTGCTCAGCGTCCTGGTGTTTGCAATTACCTCCACGAGTTTCCACATCTGCTGAATAACTGAAAGCAATGGATGCAACCACAGGGACCAGGCACCTAGGAACTGGATAGGCACCTATTCTACACCAGAAGTTCACTCCAAGGGAAAGGAAACAACACAAGCAACTCACAAAAGGGTTTCAGTTGGGTATTACTACTTCCGCCAGCTCTCCTGGGTTACTGGAGTCTCTATCATAGACTCTGCTACTCAAATTTAGTGAGATTTGTTTTACACTAGTTAGCACTATGTGTAACTTTTTCCTTTCTCTGATTAAAAAAAAATCATAACCACCATATTTTGTTTTCCTGTACACTCTTATTGTCCAGAGCATCTATTAGTTGCACAAACTCCTTTAAAGCCCCTCTCCAGTGTCACACTTTGCCTCCTCGCTGTCCTTCCACGTTGGCAGAAATCACCAAACAACTGTCTTGCTACAGAATTGTATCAAAACAACCAGCAAAAACTTATGCCTTCAATCCCTGATACAAGGCAATTGCAAAGTCTCATACTATTGAAACCAAACCACTAAATCCACAGCAGAAAGTTTAAAATGTCTTGAAGTTGAACTAGAACTAAGTGTTAAATACTGACAGGAGGATACAAGCACGGTCAGATATTCTCAAGCCACCGTACACAAAGGCAACTGAACGTGCCCTGGTGTTTCTCACTGTCACTGTGCTGCTCTCTCCTCCCCGTCTGCTAATAAAGTCAGTCACCATGATACACAGCAAGAACTTCACTCTGAACGACAAATGATGATGCGTGACCGGCAGAAGCGATCAGGGCGTGAAAAAATAACCATGAATGAAACAACTTACAGCTTAAATGACACTGAAATGGGAGCGCGGGAACAAGCCACTTTGCATATTTACATTTGTCTAGAAATAACTACGGACCCCCAGTTATTGTTCCACTCGAAATTAATTTTCTGCTTCTTAAACTGGAGCTTCCAGAAGGGAAGCTTTGGGGGGTTGGGCCTTTGTTTTTAGATCAGCTTGTTTTCCCAGTTAGGTTTTCACAGAGCAGAAAACTTGAGGTAGAGCGCCCAGCGCGAAGCCCACCATGCAGCCATGCGCAGCGCAAGAGCTCGGTCGTGTCAGACCGCCCGCACCGAGGATTCGCAGCATGCAGCCATGGGAGATGTCAAGCTCAAGGCAGGGTCGATGCACAAGGTTTCTAACCTCCTTCTCTTTTTCTGATCTTCTAGGTTCCTTCCTAGCCTTTCTCTTCTGGTTTCTCTTATCTTTTTCGTCCTTGATCTCCTTCACCGGGACTATTTCTGAGGCGTGTGCTGTACGGATACTCATTGACCATTCAGAGAAGGCACTGGGATCCCAGTAAGAGTTTTCAACATTGGCAGGGAGAAGAAAAGAGTTAGCTCCCACGGTGGCGTACTCTACAGAGCTTGACTCCACCGGATGAAATTCATAATAATCCCACTCCAGGCCACTGGAGGTCATTCTTCAACTAATTCTTACGGCTCTTACTGCGTTTTAAGAGTATCTGTAGAACACGAAGTGAGTGTTTTAATCTATCCATAACATTTAACAACTTTTAAGTTTAGTCCTGCACTTGCTCATTATCTAAACAGCGTCAACTCCAAAGTAAAATATGTTTCGGTTTCTCTTCTGCAGGTTTTTTTTTGGTGTTATCACAACCATGCCATAGACAAAAATCAATGAAGTCAGTTGCTTCTCAATTAAATACGATATCCCTCACTCTCACAAGCCATTCCATCTCTGAACCTAAATCTGTATTCCTGGAAAAAACAACAAAATGCACAGATATTAATCAAAGCTTGAAACTAAGATGCCTTCACTGCCAAATAAGCACACAATAAAAGTGACCAAAGGCATAATCAATAGATTGCAACTAAAAGAGAGTGTGAACATATTCTGTGGGGCATAAATAGAGCATAAAAATTAATTAAACAAGGAGAAACTGTACATAGAGAACCTTCTTTGAAGACCTATGTAAAAATAAAGCAGAAATATTTTAGTTAATACCTTTCACAAGCAAGAATCCTCACTCAGAGCCTTCTTCCTCCTCTGAGACAAATCCAAACACAGCCTCTGAGAGATTCAGCAACTCCTGAGGCTCTCCTCAACCCAACTACATTACTAGCATTAAATACAGAGCTAAAATCAAAATACATCTTAAAGAAACAGTATGTGTGAATCAAGCATGCATCTATGCTGGTCAGGATAGTTACCACATTTACAAGCAGTATCCAGTTGTCATGAGCAAAGCCCCCGAAAAGCGTGCAAGGCCAGTGAAATAGGTCTTCTATGAGCTGAATATTTCTACAGCACAAGACTTCATTAAACCAAAATGATGCTAAACACTGATTTACTGTTTTTCCATCACAGCTATGATATTTCCATATAAACAGCCCAGATTTTATTCCTAGAGGATTAAAAACAAACAACAACAAAAAAAACCACCCCACCCCAGACTTACTCAAAAAACAGTCTTCACAGAAACCCAATTTGACCAAATCAGTGGAAGCTCTTGACTTCTTAGAGCAGGGACTTGCTTTTCTCAGGAAAACTGACTGTACTTGTAAAGTACCTGTGAATTTGTCTTAAATACCTGATGAATAATTTTGATGAATCTGGGAGAAGCTGAAAAACACACTCTGAATAAACTGAATAAACTGATAGTCCCATTACATATGCAAATCTGCTCCATTTCACAAATGGGCAAAGGGAAAGAATAAAGAGTTCAAGAAGCAAAGTTTCTTCCCAGAAAACCAAGCAGTCTTCCCTTTCCAGCGGTGGCTGTACCAGTACCCCAGTCCTAAGCTCGTCAGACAGACTGGTCACGTCTCACAGGGAAGCAGCTGCTCATGCAGAGAGAGAAACCAGTTTTCTAATTTCTATAGCTATTTAAGACTCTCTAGATGCAAACAGATGCCTAAGAGGATTTACAAAATGCACCTAGACATTTGCAGCATCCTTGTAATAACCATACAGGTGCCTCTGCTAACCACTTTTGGTCCTCTAGGTCCTTTGAAGATTTTTCACCTCATTTATCAGAGGGGGAACACCAAAGTAACCCTTCCTCAAACTTGTTCCAGCGTGCTATCAGAAGTTAGCAAGGAATCTGCAGAAGTCATGGTTATTCAACTGCTGTTGATGTTTCAGCCTACACCTTTGTTCATCAGAGTGAGGTAACTCAAAACCATATTACTGATCACTCCAAAGTGCTTTAAAGCCTATTCTTACGGAAAATCAAGAAATTCCAATGCCTTACATATTTTACCCAAAGAAAACATGCAACCATTTGCTCAGTTCAGAGCTAGCCTCCTTCTGCTCACGCTTCACCCCAGGAAAACCTCACAGATGCCTCCATCCCCTACATCAAGCGTGGCTGCCAACAGGATGACTTCCGAGCGGTGAGCGGCTGCTCAATACTCTATACGCTGTGGCATGTGCCTACACAAAAATCACCTCCCACTTCAGGCAAAAATCACAACGAATTGTGTCCCCTACCTGACATCCTCCAGTGGGTTCCCACAGAGTACAATGAATTTTTACTTCATTTCTACATCAAGTGGCAGACGATGACTCTCACTGCTACCCGCATCCACCTGGCGTAACTAGAGCTGTTATAAAGCTCTACAGCTTGAGCAAGAAGATCAAGCTATTTGTTGAAAACCACCACATTTTACATCGTCTCCCATGCGGTTTTGCATCTCTAAATTAGAGGTTACATCACCAAATTAGAAAATGAAGAGACAGATTTTGTTTTGATTTAGACCTGCTTCAAAGAACTGAATGTCTACTGTTACTTGCAAATTACCTTTCCCCTTCCACCCCAAGCAAGAAGGATGTATCTACTTACGTCATCCTGAATATCCAGGTCACAACCTGCCTTCAACAAAACCTGGACGACGTGGAGATGACCCTTGTGGGCAGCAAGATGCAGGGGGGTCCGGCCATGCTATGGATGAGAACAAAATAATAACACTTGAAGATAAATTTTTATGCATGGTAGTCGACCAGAATTTTATCTGCTTCTCCTCATTCTTCTGTTCATACCTTGCTCTCTGAAACCTGCAACAGCAGCAACGGACATAGACTAGCATATCAAAAGCTCTTAGTTTTGTGTATGCTGAAAACTCCTCCTTTTGCAACATTTCCGTTTATCCCAGTGATAATCTACAAAAGGGATATTATATTCATGTAAGGACACCTTACAAATTCGGATCTGGGTTTGTGTCCATGCTTAAAGAGGACTCATGACCCTTCTGATACTGTCCCTGTGGAGCACAACATTGTCAGTCGCTCTCAACGTTATCAAGTTGCAAGAGCAGGCTAACTCACACATTGTAATGGGTACCATAATTGCAATAGAAATAAGAATTACTCGACTGTTGTGTATGATGGACATTCTACTTAAAAGGAATTGAAGACTCATAGTCACTCCAAGTGGCTTCATGTGTACAACGATCAACTTCAATTTGCCAAAGATCTGTGAGGTTTTTTTGGATAATACCTATTTTTAAACATTATGAAGCTCTAACTCACATTACAGTACAAGTATAAAATAAAACATGAGAAATTCAATCTACAGTGTGATCAAGGACAGTTTCCTAGTAAACAGAAGGATAGAAAAGTTTTAATTAGTGAGATGGATATGTGATGTATAGTTTTAGGAGAAAAAAACCTCAAATATCAAAATCTGACAGTAACATCAATTCAAAAAAACCAATAAGCAGGTTCCAAAAACCTAAGCGAAATAAGAGGAAAACAATAGTTACTTGTAGCTCAGCTCTCTTGACCACCATTTGACAGAATGTAATATGAAACATTTTACGAAAAGAGGAATAGACTGCTTCTCCTAAAACAAGCATAAGAATCAGTGTAAAAAGAGGCTCAGAGAGGGAAGAGACTGCCTGAAGCAGTCTGGACAACAGAGGAGAGCTACAAGTGATTCCCTGAAGATTAACCTGTACAACCTGAAAAAATCCCTCATAAGAGAGAACCAAGAATTAACTCTTGCTCTAGGAAGTAGCTGTGTATAAATATACACACATATACATATATATATAAAATCTCAAAGCATCAATGTGAAAAGCAAGTTAAACACTTTAAAAACTATTAAACAGCAGCACTATACAAGTGCAAATTTTATTTCAATGTAATTAAGAAAAAAGGATTCCAGATATTGCTAAAATCACAGAGCATCTTCACAAATAAGCCCTTTTTCTCCACTAGGCATTTTATGAGCTAAAGAAGAGTTACATTACTCTTCACCTGTATCTATTATCATAGAATCACTGAACAGCCTAGGTTGGAAGGGACCTTAGAGATCATCTAGTCCAACCTCCCTGTCATGGGCAGGGACGCCTCTCAACTAGATCAGGCTACTCAAGGCCTCATCCAACCTGGTCTTGGAAAACTCAAGCGAGGGGGCATCCACAACTTCTCTGGACAATTTATTCCAGAGTCTTGTCACACTCGTACTGAAGAATTTCTTCCTAAGATCCAATCTAAATCTGTTTTCCTTTTAACTTAAATCCATTTCCCCTTGTCCTATCAGTGGACACTCTTGTAAAAAGTCCCTCCCCAGCCTTCCTGTAGGTTCCCTTCAGGTATTGGAAGGCAGCTATTAGGTCCCCTCGAAGTCTTCTCTTTTCAAGTTCCCTTAGCTATGCTTATAGCAGAGGCGCTCCAGACCCTGGATCATCTAGATTGACAAATCATTTCCAGCTATGAACAATATGTTTGGATTATGAATTTGTGATCCAGCACATTCAGGTTTATGGGTTCTGACTTTCTACATTATTCAATGGCAATAAGCAAATCACCTAATCCAGGCGTCTCACTTCCCGGCAGGTTACTAATATGCCGTGAAAACAATTTATTGCAATCTGTGCATGGAGCAGAAAAAAATCCCAAACAAACCCAAACTGAAGCCAGCTCATGTACTTTAAAAGGAAACAGTGCCAACTACATGAGTATATCCCAGCAGGGAAACCTTCTGATAAGATAACCATCTCTAACCACTGAAAAAATGCTGAGGGGCAGCCAAAGGTACCGTGTTAAAAGTAAACTACAGAAGTAGAGTGTGAGTTTATTTCAATATGAGGGACATGTTTTTCTCACTCAGCACATGTTCCCAGGCAATCGCCGGACAGAGCGCGCCCAGTGGCCGAGCACACGTGCAAGAAAAGGCTGCAAAACCACAGATGATCCAGATGACACAACCTTCACCTTCCCATTCCATGCCTTAAGGGACATTAAAATAAAGCTGCCCAAGGGGATAGACTTATCTGGAGGAGACTGCCCTTGCCCTAGGGAGCACAAAGTTCTCCTGTCACTGGGACCAACCCATCCCCTGTTCTGAATACCTGGGCAGCCTCCTGGTTCTCAGGACCACTCACAGGAGATGGGTGCTGGAGGGGAAGGCACTTGCTGGAAGAGGCCACCGTGAGCCAGAGAGAGCTCTGCAAGCAAGGGTTGACTGGCTGCTCCTCTCACTCAGCAGAGATTCACATTTACTGTTCTTTGCCCCTATTGTCATCCCTAAGTGTTCAAAAACTTCAGCCAGCTACTCAGAACTTATGTTTTTGTGTAACATTTAATAAAAAAAAATAAATTAAAAGTTATTGAAATTACTCTGAGATTATTTTTATTGCAAAGGGCTTGTGTGTTTTGAGATTCTCTATCCAAAAAGCACGTTTAGAAGCATCCCACATATTGGAGATCCCTAGAGAGAGACCTTCAGAGACCAGAGCTAATGCATACATGCAGTCCTTGAGCATTTCCCACTACAGAGGGACACTGTAAATGAAAACTATGACCCTATTGAGGATGAGAGAGTGGGAAGGAGGATCAATTCCAGCACATTACACTGATTAGAGGCTCAGGGTTTTGGAACAGCACTGATCATCTCAAGATTAATCATAACCCTGCAAGAACTGGCAATGCCAGATTTCCTTTTTCTTCCCAGTAACATCAAAATGAGAGCAGAGATGGTCTGGTCAGCGTTCCAGTGCAGGCAATGCAGACACTGGAAAAACACTCCCACTCACCTCCCCTCACCTACATACAGACACAGGTATGTATGTGCATACGTACGCACACACCGACCTACAAACTGCAGGGGTCAGACAACGTGATTTGAGTGCCCCTCATGCTGTGATGACCAACCTGGAGCACAAGCTTTGGAGATAAATGTTCCGTGAGTATGTGCCACAGCGGGGAGCCCCAGCAGCAACAGCCAGAGCTGCTCTTGTCTTATAGAATCATAGAACAATTCTGGTTAGAAAAGACCCTTGGGATCACCGAGTCCAACCATTAACCCTACACTACAAGGTCACCCCTAAACCATATCACCCAACACCACATCTAAGCGACACTTAAACACATCCAGAGATGGCGACTCAACCACCTCCCCAGGCAGTCTATTCCAGTTTCTGACCATTCTTTCCGTGAAGAATTTCTTCCTAATGTCCAGCCTAAACTTTCCCTGTTGCAGCTTGAGAGTCTGTAGCATCTTAGTGTCTGTAAATCAAACCAACAGGCTACGAAGGTTTTCTCTCACAGCAACACATCCTACACAAAATATCCAGGGGGAAGAGACATGAAGGCAGATCATTAAATTCTCCTCTGCGTGTCTCCTCCACAAAGACACGTGGTGAGACACTGGCACAGGTTGCCCAGAGAGGTGGTGGCTGCCCCATCCCTGGAGACATTCAAGGTCAGGCTTGATGGGGCTCTGAGCAATCCAACCCAGTTAAACATGTCCTTGCTCACTGCAGGGGGGTTGGACTGGATGAACTTTAAAGGTCCTTTCCAGCCCAACACTTTCTATGATTCTACAATTTCACACTCACCAGGGCAGCACCAAAGAGGGGATTCACCTGAATACACACGTGGGTCTTAGTGGGGAAAGAAACATATACAAACAAGAATGTCTCCTAGAGGCTCACTGCAAGGAGACAACACCAAATCCAGAGACAGTTTAACATGCAGAGTATCGACTTGAAAACTTGTAAGCATTTCCAAATATGAACCGGAATGGTTTGAGGGTTATTACAGAAATACAGATGAGAGACTGCTACAACTTGGGACTAATGAGCCTATAAAGCAGTCACTCATACAAAAAAATGGGCAATTTGAACTTCTATTCAAATGTAAATAATGGCTTCAGCAGGTGACAAATCATACAAATCCTCCCATGTCACAGGCTTATTGACAAAACAAATGGGACCAGTTGCACTAAGGCTGCAGCTTCCCACAACCACGACACGCTGCGCTTGCTCCGGGGCATTACCAGGTCACAGCTGAGCACAGTGAACAGCCACATGAATTTCAGCAGCAAAATGCAAGGGTTGGGTTTTTGTTTGTATTTCTTCTGCATTCTGACTTCCTGACATTGACAGGCAGCTGTCAGTGCACGCCCTCTAAAAGCTGGATTTTCTTGCAGCAGCTGCTAATATATGCAGTCTGCAACGAGATCCATATGGGGAGGCTTTAGTACCACAAGCAACATGATTGTTCCTTGCATCTATGCATTTGTAGATACTTTTATGCAAATACACTCAGTTGTCCATCTCGCCCTGCTCTTGTGCTGCACAAGGATGGCTATTTATTCATCCATTCTGCACTTACACAAAAAACATGCCTATCCATGTTTTATTAGAAAGCCTGAAAACAAAAACCAAGTGTTGTCACGTTGTCCATGTTGTTAGACTGTTCTCCATGAATAACCTGCTCACTCCAGTCAGCAGAAAGTTTCTCACTGACCTCAATAGGCATTCAGCAAGTCCCTAAAAGTTTGCTAGTTCTCTCGCTTTTTTAAATGGATACTTAAAAGAGACATAACTAGTTTTACAAACTGAAGGAACACAAAAAAGTGAAAGTACCAAAAGGTATTTCTTTTTTTGTTTCCATCTTAACTTGAAAAGGAAGAAAAAAATTTTTTTAAAGAACTCAACAAGCTGTGAAGTTGAAATCCCAGTGGCAAGACTACAAGTACCCTGGTATTACATAAGCCCTGCCATATGGCAGCTTTGTAACACAACTGATTCAAAAATTAAATCAAACAAAGAGACAGAATTACTGAATCAAAACAAAACCACTGCTTTTTGCATCTCTGTGTTCGGGTTTTTTTTCCATATAATCATCCCCCCCCCTGCAGAATTCAGTTTTATAGCTACGATCTTAATGCTACGCTCTGCAGAAAAGCTATATTCTGCTTCTCTTTGAAAAAAACACTCATAAAACCCATGGCGCTACACAAATTACACTAAAACTGCCTGCACTACCTTTACAACTTCCTCTGGCAATGTTTTTCACATTTAACAGAGAAGAGACACACTCCTCTGTGCATGGTTGCTAATACATAGCTTTTTCTGGCCCTGGTAATTCTGGCTCTCAATTGCTACACTCTGTGTCACAACACCCCAGCAAAACCCAACACCCAGGAACACTTTGGGTGAGCTGTAGTGCAGAGGTTCAGACCTGGAAACTTCAGCTCAAGGCATGGAGCAAGCCCAGGTTAGAGGCTGCTGTTTCCCCATCAGTGCCTTGTTTCAGCCAGGCATCCTTGGGATACACCAAAACTTGATGTCCAAAAGGCAAAATCCCACTTCTCTCCATCTTCCAGGCACCGGTTTGGCAGACAAGGCCGAGAGAAGAGCCGACCTGATCCTAAATGTCAGTACCATCAGCTCCTCCTGTGCCACTCCTAGCAGTCCACACAGCCCTCTCCGTAATCTGTCTCAACCCAAAAAAATCAAAAGAAAAATAATCTAGGAAAACAACACCCTGGGATGACAGCAAGGCAGAGCAGCTCAGCAAAAGTCCCAGCGCTTTCATGTCGAAGATGCAGCTGTAAATAACTTTACTGAGAGAAAGCTCTACTGCAAAAGGATTGAAAGAAGGGACTAGCTTATTTCTTGGACGAAAAGTCTGAATTATACCAGGCTCATTTCTTAATTTTCCAGCTTTTGCAGTGTATTCGCCAAAATTCTTTATAGAGGTACCTGCTTGTTGGATCAGCCAAGTTGCATGATTAGTTTTTCAGGTATTTTTTGCTTTTTTTTCATGAAGAAAGCAGCTATAAATTTCACACCTGTGAAGAACATCAGACAGGAAGGCATAAAAAAATGGAAATTATCTCTTTGTCCTACAACACAGAGCTGCAACAGAGCACCCTGGTGCCGTCTGAGAAGAGCAGAACCCTCTGCTGAGCACCAGACTGTCTCTCAGCCATGGCCATGGCTGGTGGCAGAGATCCTGGCACCAGGACGAGCACTTGATGCCTGTGCAACGTGAGTGCCACCAGCCTCCTCCCACCCTGAGTTCCCTGATGTCAGATTGTCAACAGTGGTGTGACCTAGTGGCCATCAGCTCTTCTTTTACATATTTTAAAAGGCTCCAGATCTGGAAGGAGCCCCAGTATTCCTCGTTGGAGTCATGGGAGGTGCACACTTCCATACTGACTTCACCTGCACAAAATGCCTTGCTAGTAATGCTGAAACAAGTGCATCCTCGACAAAATGCTGAAGGGAGCACCTGGACACACAGATTCTCCATTGTATTTTGTTCTTTCATATCTTTCTTCTGAAGTCACCTACTCAGAGGTGACAAAAATTAAATATTATTTTTTGCAGCTGAATTGCTATTGACTGAAGCAGCAATTAACCACATCATAGGACCTTCCATATATACAATAAAAGTAGAAAGGGATGAGCTTGCCAGCTATCATAAATTTAATAGTACTTGGTTGGTTACAGAAAATACGCTTCATTTTTCTTAAGCTATGCTCAATTAATCCTGTTTGAATAAAGAACTCTCTAACATTTAGCTCTAGGTCCTGGTTACTTCAAGCTGTGGCTCTGCATGGTGTTTTCCACAAGAACGGGTCTGCGCTTACGGATGCATATGAGAAATACGATTAAAACCTAAAAAATTATGTGGGAATATTCTCTCCCTCCAAAGAGCTGTGTCTCTGCCTGTCTTCTTCCAATAAAACTGACAGATTTCAGGAATTTTGTCTGATAAGTATACCCATCTCCTTTCTTTCAATTTTGAAGCAAATCACTAGAATTTAAAATTAATTTGACAGAACAAACTGAAAACTATGAGTAAAAGCCGGACACATACAGATAAAATAGAAGTAAGGCATGGACATTTATGTTTCATTTTGCAATGAGTTTTATCTTGGGGGAGAGGGTTTTGATTTATCTGAAAGTTTGATCAATAGTTCTCTTTTACAACAAGCACGCCATCCGATTTCCATCATAAAATTAACAACCCCATCCTGAAAGTAATTCTTATTTTGCACCTGTTCTGTGTATGGAGAGACTGCACAAGAACCTGGCTGTCTGATGGCTAAAAAAATCCCTTCAACTTTGCAGTTTAAATATACCTGAGGTGAATTTAGACATGCTTGCTCCTGTGACAACCCTGTCCTTGACTTCAAACAACTCTTTCTCCCTCCACCCTTTGTGTGTCACCAGATTAGGAAGTCAAACTCTTCCAGGCTATGTTTATATAGCCTTTCTTAGGTAAATATGTACACGCTCTCCCTGTGCAGCTCGCTGGCTGGGTGAGAGCCAGATGCAATCTGGATGCCGCATGGCTCGGGACAGGACATTACTGAGCCTGAACTGATGGGCTTTGACGAGGGCAGCAGCATGGTCTCACGCTTCTCGGTTCACATTGAGCTCACCTCTATCTGGCTCACAGCATGGAAGGGATAAATGTGTGTACGTCTCCTGAAATACCCCACGCACGTAACCTCTGTCGCTCCTCAGAGCTTCTCCATTCCTCTGTGCCCTCCTCCGCAGCTTTGCTGATCTGACTTCATCTCTCCTGACCAGGGTTTGTCACCAGGCCAAGAACCTCATCATCTAGAATGATGAGAGAGACAGTTTTTGCCATCCCTGCTTCCATGGGTGATGACCCACAACCTCTAGGAGAGAACAGCTAGAATTTTGTAGTGCCAGGTCAACTACAGGGGTGGCCTCAGAGCTCACCAGCGAGCACGGCTTTTCAACAGGAACAGCAGCGCTCTGCACCTGGGCGCAGTTTTGCCACCAAATGAGCTTTGCTTTGATTTTCCACACAAGGGCTGCACAACAAAGCAAGGGCAGGAAGCAGGAAGCCACCTGTGTCACATAGGAGAGAAAAATTTGCCAGCTCTAGCAAATCTGCATTTTATTGAATCAACCTGATTTTGTGTTTGAAAGTCAGATCTACGCAATCTGCTTCTTACTGTAATTAAGTAATTGCATAATAAACAACCTTAACAAGGATAAAGCATCAACTTTGCATTAGAATTGTGGACTGTGGCAACTAGGTCCATGAAACAGTTAAATCAGTGGCATGATTATTCTGCGACCATTACAAAGGACACCACGTAATACGTTCAAACAGTGTGGAAGCTGGATTTGAAATTACATCAATGTACAAATTTATACAAAGCATAGCATCCTTTCAATCTTTTCTGTATTTTCAGGTAGGTCCCTCATCAGTCTCAAAGCTTATGATCTTCAAAAAAAGCCACAAAACCCCAATCTACCATTTAGACATCTCTAAATTGGTATTTCCTGGTCAAGTACTGACTACCTTTAAGAGCTGTTCATCAGCTACAGAGCTGCTTGGACAACAGAGCCAAACAGGTATCACATCTGCACAAATAAAACTTAGAAATATGAGTTTTCCTTGGATCACTCCATTTTTAAAAACAGATACTATCTACAACTCAAACACTGCAAAGGGATGGAAAACAACTGTCACTGACAGATAAAAAGAGAAAAAGACACATTACTTATCAAACATACTCACATTTGTTTTCTATCTGTAAATATTAGCTCCCATACATACATAATGTTCAAAATCAATATGGAAATACAAATAAAACTAGCTACAATAGAGAAGAACATCTCATCAAAACAGGACGTCCCAAATTTCATGTTACAACTCTAAAAATCTAACTTACCTAATTCTTTTTTAGGGGTTTCTGCTGATCAAAATTCTGCAACAGCCAATCCTATCTCATCTTTTACATACTATCTCATGTTTTCTATGCTGATGTTATTTATAACATGATGAGAGTTAGGAATAGGTGAATATCACTTCAAACTCTCTTAATATTTAAGCAGAAATCCTTCGATGCTAACCTCATCTCAAAGGTATGAGGAACAGAGTTTGCAAATCCCGAGCCTGGAACTGACTGGGGACTGCACAACACGAATCAATGAAGACGTCGGGTACAAGCAAGGCTGCTGTTCCAAGAGACTTAAGCAGCAAGAAACGCTTTCTGCGTCCCTTTACCCTCCTGCAACAGGTGGCTTTCCTCCATCCCCTCTCCCAGGGGGACAGGCGCTCTGAACCACCCTCCCTTGACAGCAATGAATCGCTCCATTCATCAGCTTGCACAGCGTTCAAAAGTCAATGCATGCTTTGAAAAATGTCGCTGCCCCTCTGTCGACACATCGCGCTTCTACAGACTCAGCGGCCACCGCAGCTGCGACTGCTGGGACGTGTATAAATACAACACATGCATTACATTGTAAATTCACAGGAGCTACTGAATACAGAAATTTAAGGAAATCTAAACACTAACCTCAGGCACATTCAGACTGGGAAAGCTATGAGGGCATTTTCACGGACAATGGTCTAGGAGTTACATTAGTTCCCAGGGATTTCGCAAAGCGTTTTTCTCTTGTTACCTTGGTAACCGCTACCTTGGCACCCTTGTTGATAAGCTGCACCACATTCTCCACTTGGCCTTTGTAGGCAGCTACGAGCAGGCGTTCTGAAAGCACGGCGACCACATCCTGCTGGCTCATGAATTAGGAGAGAAAGGTTTTTTCAGGTTTCTTCGGTCCAAAAAACAAAACCTTGGGATCAGTTCAAGCAGCGCGCAGGCAGGCGAGGAAGGACTCCAGCTCCCCGGACGGTGACGTTATCGCTATGCCATCCTCTGGACCTGTGGATCAGAAAATAACACTGCCGTCAGCAAGGTTTTTGGAGACGGAAGCACTGCAGCAGCTCCTCCCCAAGCGTTCGTCTTTGCATCAATTTGGGAGGGGGTCACAAAAACCCCTCAGAGTCTCCTGAAGACACTGCACTTCTGCAGCAGGGCAGAGAGGTGCAGACAGCACCACATTTTCAATGTTCTCTCCTTCCCCTAGTTTGGGATAAAAATCCTTAAACTCTCAGAACGAGCCTAACTCTCTTTTGGCCTAATCTGTATTTGTGTGGGCCCCTTTTATTCTCTCCTTCCCCTCAGGCTTCTGAGACTTTAATTAGCGAACGACAGGTTAACTGCCTCCACTGCTAATAGCTCAGCCTGTGTTGGCCAAAGGAACGAGAACAGGTTATAGTTACTGGCTGCTGATACAAATACACAAACCTCCGGAAAGACTGAGCACAGTCAGCAATTCAAGGCAGCTGACCATTCCCTCATGAGTACAAAATGCTTCCCAGCCTCTCCCAAAACCATCCCAAGGGCATATTTGGAAGGGATCACAACCTGCAACTGGGAAACACTCACTTCGCTGTCAGCGAGAAATGATGTTACTCCAAAGGTGCTGACAACACGCCCCACTGACCCCAGAAACAATTCAGATTTAGCACTCGTCATGCAAACTTGTGAGCAGGTTCTGCTTCCCAGGCTCCACTGACCTGACCAACAAGCCAAGGGAGCTGAAAAAGGATTTCTGACACAGTATCAAAAAATATATCTGCAAATCACTTTTGTGTTGTAGGATTCAGAACCTGCCCAGCTTGGGAGTATTTCAGCTTTACTTGTGCTTTTCACACTTTGGTATTTAATTGTTTCAGTACAGGAAAAACACCTTTGACATAGCCCACATGCATGCACATGATGTATCTTTCTCTCTCTTGTGAAATATCACTGCACTGCTCCTTATCAGCTACCAGTATTAGAGGTTTTGCATAATCTAAGGGCAATTGGTACCTGGACTAGATGATCTTGTAGATTGATAGTGGAATACAATGTCTTTCACCCTTACATTATATCCCTTTGAATCCATATGAAAACAGCAATCACTAAAAGCTTAAAGGCTTTGCTGCCCCCCCCCCCCAACTGATTTGTTTGTCTCAGTTTAGAAGATAGTACAAAACCATCCCCATGACAATCCCACTACTCAGGGTACTGACATTTTTGCTAACAGCTTCATCAGGGAGATCATCACCAGAACAACAGAAGAGATTTAATTTCCATCCTCACACCAGAAAGACATTCACAGTAACATGGAGGAAATGCATGGGTGGCTGTGGCACATGAACTCCCCATCTTCTAAACACTGGGGGCAACACCTTTTAATGAACAGCACTCCAGTGGTACAGGACCACATCCACCATATACTTCCATAACAAAAAGATTATGTGGCCCTGTTCAACTGAATGGTTAACAGGGTATTGTGAGCCTCTGTGTCACCAAAGTGGTGTCCAAAGTCCCTGGACTGTGCAGAATCACTGACGTACCTTAAACATTTTTGATCACATGTATTAAAACTATGTCAGTTAATCTGTAGTAGTAGATGGTACTAGCAGAACTTAACTGGCACTCCTAAAGTCACAGAATCATCACAGGGCCTAGGTTGGAAGGAACCTTAGAGATCATCTAATCCAACCTCCCTGACATGGGCAGGGACGCCTCTCAACTAGATCAGGCTACTCAAGGCCTCATCCAACCTGGCCTTGAACACCTCCAGGGAGGGCGGCAGCCACAACATCTCTGGGCAATTTATCCCAGAGCCTTGCCAACCTCGTACTGAAGAATTTTTTCCTAACATCC